TTAAATAACGGTCCAACCGGTTCAACTACTGGTCGGACCAGTGAACCATTGAACCAGTAGCTTGACCGGTTCGATTACCAGTCCGGTTCTTAGAACATTGGTTAAAAGTGGCAAAAGTTTATCTCATACAATGAAAATTTTAGGATGTAGCTACTACAATATTATATCTTATTTTATAGCAAAAGGCCATCATGTCTTTCAATGTTTTGACCCGAATGGACCATTAACTGCAAAGGTTGTCACACTTCTCTATGTTATAACCAAAAAAGATCACTCACTGCAAAGACCCTCACGTTTTTCAATGTTTTGACCGGAATTGACCACTCTCTACAAATGTGCTCACACTTCACCATGTTCTGGCCTGAAAATGTCCACTTGCTGCAAAGTCCCTCGTGTCACATTGTTTTTACTCGAATTGACCACCCTCTGCAAATGTTTTCATATTTTCTTCATGTTTTGGCCTAAAAAAAATGACCACTCACTACAAATATTCTCACGCCTCTCATTGTTTTGACCCGAAGATGACCATTATCTGCAAATGTTCCCACACCTCTCAATAGTTATCTGCTATAAAAACATAATCACACACACCAAGCTATTCAAATAATTTGTTATATTTCTCTATCCTATATTTTTTTCTCTCTCCATTGCATTTCAATTTTGACAATTGTTCATCTTCCTCGTCTGATGATGATGATAATATACTAATTATTAACACTTTTCATAAAAAACAAGAAGTAATATCTCGTGTTATCGCTAATAGCACGATGATCATTTAACAACTTCTCAATCAACCAAACCAAACCACCAAGCCACCCATGGCGGTTCTATTCCCGAGAATATTTTTATCAATAGTGATTGGGGAATGCTTTTTGGGTTGTACAATGATTAATATTTAAATAACTCATTGTATAACGAGACCATGTTTCACAGAAGATATTAAATGCCTCGTTCATTGTTCCTTCGGATTATCTATGTAGTCTGAGATCATGATCATTACTTCCAACAACGTGTTAATCGAGCTGGCAAACTTGGACTATCTCCAATACAAAAATAAAATGACTTTGTCTTTCGTATGTTGGCGTACGGTGTTACAGAAGATGCTACGGTTGATCTTCTGCGTACGATTAAAAATAATTAATGTTTGACGTGATAACTACTATATAATAACTTTGAAAATGAGTTTTTCGATTGCATATCACCTTATAACCTATCAATCTATATATTCTGTTTTTTGTTATTTTACATAAGAGTTAGGATCTCATGTCTATGTCAACGTGTATGTTTGTGCTATATCAATATAAAAGCATTAAATAAATAATATCTCAACCTTCTCATTGGAAAACCAAAGTTTTTTTTTCTTACCTATAGATGACTTTGTCCTCGTCTTGTCAATTAATTTCCAAATGTATAACTGTTGATATACACGTGAATGAAAACAAATATAGCAAAATTTGGAGCAATAAAATATCCCAGATTTTTTAAGTGAATGGCATTCACAATCTTATAAGACAAAAAAGCGCTTGACTAAAGCTTTTAAAGTCCAAACTAGATATCACCTAGCAAGGTATTATAGATATATAGTAAGTCTAGAATAACGTCACAGGCGGGATACGTAAAAATATTGTGTATTTATGAAATAATATAAGTTAAATATCACAACTGTATAAATTTAATTATTATGACATTAATTATTTTCAGTCGAATTTTGAAAAGAGATGAAAATGAACAACATAAAACTACTATTTGCTACATTGATTACTCACTTTCAATAGTTACAACAATATAGATAATAGGTAATTTAATTGTTATATTGATTAATATCATAAATATGTCGGTTAACTTAGAAATATCTATAAATATATAATTTGGAGCAACATCATTTAATTTTGTTATAAGTAGCATTAAATTATATTATTTTTTTTCCCGCCTAAAGCAGTTACAAATTAAAATACACCAAATTTAATATGTACTTTTTTTGGCTTTTTTCCGTAATCAACTCCAAAGAATGTAACGTTTTCTTTGACTTTTTCAAAAAATCTCTATTTGTAATGGAAAGGTGTGACTATCATGCAGATGTGTTCAACTTTTGCAATTATTATTCATGGTTTGACCAATAAACATTGAATCTTCATAGATCTATTAAAATTTATTGAAAAAAAAAATGTAGGAAGTATTTATTAAGAAGCGGTCAATAGTCGAAAGATTCGACTTCAGTGCTCAACTTATAACAAACTTTTGTTAAAAAAAAAAAGAAAAAGAAAAAAACAACGTAAATTTCTTTAGAAAAATTTCAGATATTGATAGATATGTAATGTAATCGCCTGATTTGCACTGTTTTACTATAATTTAGTAAAACGGATCTTGAAAATCTGGACGATTTTTTTGTTTCTCCTTTGGGTTTGAAATTTTCAGGTTTAGTTCTTTTTTTTTTGTGTATTGAACTGAAAATCTCGCTGGTCAAACATCAATTTGGCATGTTTATCAGCGAGAATTTTGCAAGAACACTAAAGGTTTGGGATTTTTATTGAGAGAGAAAGAAGAGATGCACAACAGTGGAGAATGAGTGGAATGACACAGAATTTTCGGCGTTTCTCTTTTTGGTACGGATTTTTTTAAACCCTTAAAGTGGAAATGGGCTTTCATCAATAATGAGCCTTTTCGTTATTGTTATAAAAATATTAATTTGTCTATTGGCCCAATAGCAACTACATGATTCTTTTTTTTTCGGTTAAAAAATGTGTATTGGGTTCAATTTGAAAATTATTTTTTCGCGACTTCACCAAACCGGGCTCATTAAACAAATAGCCTTACTGAGAATATTGGCCAAAATCACCTTAGAGATTTATTTTTAATAAAAATATTTATTTTTAATAAAAAATTATGCTCAATTCACCATATTTTTTTAATATGTTATCCAACCCAATTCAACAACTGTTTATAAAGTAATTATTTGTTCAATAGATAATTTTGACCAAAATGTTTATATTTGATGACAATTATAACAAACTCGGCACATATTTTATTATTACATATTTGTTTGAGAGTACCGTTCAAGTTTCAGCGGAGACAATTTTCTATCATGGTCTCCTATGCTATGACGATCAACAAGAGTCAAGACCAGTCTCTCTCACACGTCGGCTTAGTCTTGACGAACCATGTTTTCAGTCATGGACAATTATACATTGCTCTTTCTAAAGTCACGAATCGGAAGGGTTTGGAGATAATAATAATGTGGTGATGGTGATTTCGATATGAAACCATGAATGTTGTATATAAAGAAGCGTTCAATAATATTTAGAATCATTTTTTTAATCTATATTTTTTTCATGAGTATTTTTCTTATGTTGTTTTCTTTTCTACGTATTCTCCTCCGTGCAAATGCACGGGATGAGTACTAGTAAGTTAAAAATGAGCAAATTTATATCTATATAATTGTTATCAAAGAAATTAATAAAAACATTTTGTTTTCCCTCCAATTTCGGTTACAAATGTCTACCATTAGTATTTTCTTTACCTTTCACATTAATACACCCTACTAAGTATAATTATATACTAGTATTTGATCTTGTGCATTTGCACAGATATAAACACGTTTTTGTTTGTATTAATTAATTAGACATGTACTTCTATCATATAAAAATATTATTTTTTCTTAAGTTATTTTTATCATTCAAAATTAATTGAGATTTAAATTTTATTTTAACCATGCAACGTTTACATTAGTAACATGAATAAAATTCCTTTGTCTTCTTACCCACCCTGCATTAGAATATTTGTGGTATATATTAAGAGAATTAACATAAATAAGAAAAATGATTGATGTTTTTGATTTTTAGAAAAAAAAATATATGTGACAATCATATTTTTCTTCCAACAATGCAACCAAATATAGCGGTTACAGCTCTAAATGTGTCATTCAACTTTAAGTTCCAACATTAGCCGTTACATATTTGAATATTTTGCTACCAAATTTACAATTAATTTAGTAACTGATCCAAAAAATAAATAATAAACAAATATATATTAAGGTGTAACGGTTTTAACAATTAGTGAGTAATAAATTAAAAAAAATGTAACTCCTTTTGGAGGGAAATGAAAATAGGTTTTATTAAATGTTTTATTAAATGCATCAGCTAGAAATTATATATATATATATATACTAGATTTGGTGACGCCGTGCACGCACGGCGGTCTAACACCCCGTGTAAAAGTACAACAAAAAATTGTCCTAAGTTGTTGTAGCTTTTATTATAGCGTATGTTGGAAACCTATTTACAAGAGAGAACAAGAATTATAGCTATAAAGGGAATACAAATTGTATCTAATACAACTTTTTTTTACTGGTGTTCTGTTCAAAATGGTAAAGGCAAACACAAGATTGTGACCTTATTGCAGATTTCACAGGTGACATCGCCTTTTTTGTTGCACCATCTCTGAATACACTTCCTATGAGCAAACTACATTACACAACCAAAGGAGTTGAAAAGTAAATCAGTTTTCGGAGATTCTACAAATAGCTTAACAAAACATATGAGCAAGGGTTTTTCTAAAAATAGATTTCTCTAGCAGGTTGTGTTTTGATTTTTCATGGGCCGATTAAAGAAATTGGGATGGATGAGGTGTTGGTGTGATGTTTTTTTTCGGGCCTAACTTCCCATTTTCTTGTTAGTCAAATCAGTTCCTCACTACAAGAGAGAATAAAGACATCGTTATAGAATTTGATACATTTAACAAAATTCAAAGGCACTTCCATAAGAAAACAGCAGCATGAAGCTTTATAAAATTCACAGCAAGGGATACGACGTAGAATGAAAGTGGGATGAACCTGGAGCTGCAACTTGTGTGCGAGTGAAGGACGTACGATGTTTGTGTTCCTCATCGTACAATTTCTTGTACATTGGCACCAAATATGCATGTAAGAACAATACTCAAAATCAAAGATACAATCACAGTGCTTGGAAACCGTATTCCAGTTTCACATCGAATGGAAGACTTACAGAGCTATGAAGTAACTCAATCATTTGGGACTGTTCCTCTGCTCTTTGTAACACTGCTTGAACTTTAGATGTGGTTTCATCCTTAAGCATCTGAAGTTGTCTCTCATGCTTATCCTAGAAATTTTCAGGAAAGTATGAGCTCAATATAGTAGTCGTGAAGAAAAACAAAAAGAAAAGAATAAACAGTAAACACAGCTACAAAAGAAACATGACATTGCCTTCCACTCTGCTTCTTTCTCCTCAATCTGGCCAGAAAGGTTGCGGAGAAGACTCCGCAGGTGGACATTCTGCTCAACTAATCCATTTATGTCCTTAAATGTTAACTGTAAAAAAACCATCTCAATGCCCATCAGTTTTGGACGTCTAAAATTGGAAGTGTCTATATAGAATGGAATGAGAATACCATTTACCATCCGTTCAGATATGATATCTTCATAACCGGATGAAGAAAGCGACGGTACAGTGGGACCACCAACCATCTCATCATCGTGATAGCGAGAAACTGATCTACAACGCAACCGAACATCTCGACATTCTTTTAAGAGAACAGCCACCTGACAAGAAGATATATGCAAGTGACAATACAATTTTAACCATAGCATGCACAAACCAAACAATCAATAAAATGTGTATATGTAAAAATGTAAAATCTAAGAGAATTATTATATCAAATTCCTTGCTCGGGGAGCTACGTAGCAGCATCATATCATTAATTAACAAAAACACAAAATGGATATTACCTCTTTCTGGAGGTCAACGATCTCCTTCTGTGCAACAGTATAATCACGCTCTTGCTTCCTTAAGCTTGTCTAAAGAGCAAAGTACAGACCTCAAAGATGAACTTGGAAGAAACTGATGAGTTCACCCAAATTTTGAAATAGAACACAAACCTTCAGCTCCTGAATGGTCATCTCCAACGCAGAATGTTCAGACAGTGGGCGCTGCAGTTTTTGATCTAAGGCAGAGTATGCATCAATAAGCTTCTCATGTTCCTCTGCAAAGGAAAGGACGTAAGGTAAATCACTCATTCAACTACAAAGTAATTGCATGATGTCTCAAAATATGTCCATAGGCCATCCCTAGGCTTAATACTCAAATATTTTAGACCCTAAAGGACAAAAAAGGAGGTCTCAGACTTGTTCCTGCTCCAGCTGTTGGATCTTATTAAAAATACTATTTTTTTCCATTTACTACTTTTACATCATTGGTTTAAAACTGTTCATAATATTTATTTTACGAATATTTTGATCCACAAAATATTTTTTTAATTTATTATTCACTATTCTAACTATTATTTATTAAATATTTGAAATGCCTCTGTTCAATTATTAGACCTACCCTTCCCAAAAGCAGTACTCATTAGTGAGCATTTGGTATATGAAGATATTTATACTTCTTTTCACATACAGAAATATGAGATTCAAACTCATGTAACAAGCCAAGACCCTGAAAGGATCACTAATGAAATACCAGATTTAGAAGCCCACTTACTTCGCAATTTAGACAAAAACAGAATTGTGATGTTGGGATCTTGGGTAGAGACCAGTGATGTTTTAGTGGGTAAAGTAACGCCTCAAGTGGTAACACAAACATCCATTCAAAAGCTCAGTGCCCAATCAAACCGACTCGAAAATTAGATCTAATCGTACAAATCCAGTTTGATATCGAAACTCAAATACTACAAACTCATCCGCTTTCAAAAAAATTTCCCCCAAAATCAAACCTAGAAACCTAATCGACGTAGATTAATAACAAATTCCAACAATAATCTAATTCGCGTGTAATTGATTAATGTTAAAGCAGCTTTACAAATGTTTTGGCTGAACGATCGAGCAGCGGTTTTTCTCTCCAAAGATGCTAAATTCAACACTAAAATTATTATGTCCTTTTTCTAAAGCCCTTTCCAGAAACAACCACCAAAAAAACCAGAACAAAACATAAAAAAAAAAATAAAGCACCCACATAACCTCGGACACATGCTCGGACGGTCTGTGCGAGACCGGTTTCCAGAAATCCATGTTGCCGAAGCAGCTCGCCGCCTCCTTCACAGACTCGAATGGCACCGATGTGTCAATCTTCGTTCTTTGTTGAGGATTTGGCCCTCCGAGGATCGACTTGGCGTTTTGGGGTCGAAGGATTTGGCCCATCTTCATGGGAAGGAAGAACCCAATAAGGGATGCAACCTAAGAAGCTCATAAAAGTAGGTTTTGAGGGCTGAATTTGACAATTGTGTGCAGGCAATGTGTGTGTGCAAAAAATCGCCGTACGGGGATTGTTGGTGGTGCTTCAAACTCACCGCTGCAACATCGAGAGCAGAGAAAAATAAATGGGAGAAGATTTTGGGCTACTTAAAGTGGAAGACGGCATGGGCATGGGCATCGGCATGGTAAAAAAACTGACAAACAACGTGCAGGAGTCTCACTTTGCGTGTGCGAGATTTTGGGATTTCCGCCAAAAGAAGAAAAAAAGTTAAGCCAACAATTAAAGCAGTGTACAAATATTTTACAGCTACTTTACAGCTACTTCAATTATGACATCTTCAATTAACCGAATAACCCCCAAAAGGGCATTAAAGAAGGGTTATTTATGTAAATTTGAAAGCAAACCTCTGCACAAACGAACGACGAAGGGCTTGCAAATAGAATGGCAGAAATGTAATAAAGTGCAGCAAATGGGACACGTGTCGACCACCCAAATGGGCGAAAAGGGACACGTGTCAACGCCACAATGTGCCTAACTCGTTCATATAAGATATAAGAGAATATATATATATATAGATGTTTTGCTATTATATTATACAATAGTTAATGCTAATATCAACTAATAATAATTTACACTAAATACAAATTACATAAGTATAAACAACTCTATTGAAATTTTATTCTTCATTATCTTTTTTTTTAAATAATTATTTTGTATCTCATGAAACGATTTTCTCTAAAAAAAAACTAGCTAAATAGTTTTAATAGCATAGTCAAACCACTTTGAAATCTTATAAACAATTGTTGCTATCATAATAATAATAATAATAATAATAATAATAATAATAATAATAATCAGAAGGCGACGGGCGAAAAATCCAGCGGCGACGGGCGATCCGCATCAAAATCCACGACGGGCGACGGGCGATAGCTTCTGTATCCGCGACGGGCGGATCCGCGACGGGCGATCCAGTGGCGGCGATTTGTGCAGCGGGCGATTTGGGCGAACCAGTGACTGACGTTTTGGGCGACGGGCGATTTGGGCGTCGGGCTATCTGGGCGATTAGCAAGGGAGCGAGAGAGAGCCGGGCAGTCTTCCTGTCGGCTCCGGTCATCTGGGCCACCAGTGGCGGCTCTGCAGGTAGCGATTAGGGAGAGGGGTCGAGGTTGCAGGGCCGAGGGTTGCAGGTCGCGATTTTGGAGAGGGGGCGAGGGTTTATACTTGCAGGTCGCTTTTCCTGTTGGGTTCAGCTTCCTCGTTTGCTGTCCTGCTGATTCTGGTTGTGTTGGTTTGGTGTTTTGTTACTTGTGTGCTTTTCTGCTGTTTTGCTTGGTTGT